ATATTTTTTAGTTCAAAAGTCGATTACAAATTTAAAAAACAATAGATACTCTTTCTCAAAATTTTATTGATGAAAAAAATAATTTTAATTATCAATAACAAAATGTCATACTCCAGTATCGATAAATAAGTTTTCAACAAAGTGAATAGCGGCGAAATGTGACATCACATTTGACAATGAAATGACGGATTGGTGGAATAGTAGGATTAGTGTTTTTATATTGGAATCATGGTTTAATCGTTTGTGTCTCCCCCCTAGGCATTATCATGATGAAGAATTATTCTGCGACGGTGGTTATTTTTTCTTAATTCACCAAACTCTTCTGGCAAACAAATGGTGGTGTACCAGTCAGAATTGACTGTTCTACGATCCCCTAGTGGAACTGTTGCCACATGTCCACTAATTGCGAAAAAACAGGCGACCATTTGCTTCGCAACACTTCGAGCGCGAACAACTTTCGTTGGATTATCTTCACTTTGGAAGACCCATACTGTCGACTGCTGTTTAGTTTCGGGCTCATACGCATATATCCACGATTCGTCGCCTGTGACGATGTTATGGACGGAATATGATGCACCACGGTTATATTTGTTGAGCATTTCTTTGCACCAATTCACACGAGCTAATTTTTGGTCATCGGTCAATTTATGTGGAATCCAACGAGAGCAAATCTTTTTTACGGCCAAATGTTCATGCAAAATCGTGTGTATGCTTCTCATACTAATGCTCAAGGATGCCTCAATCTCACGGTATGTGACATGACGATCTTGCTTTATCATGTTTCTGACAGCATCGATAGTTTCTGGAACAGACCACGTACATTTATTCTGAAAAGTGCCGTACCACAAACTTGAAATGGCAGACTCAAGCGAACCGGCGGAAAAGCGTCTACGCCGCGGAAGAAGCGCAAACAAAGCCACGAAAGCAGTGGTAAGTGAAGAAACATCGAAATCTCAACCGAAAACTGACGCACCCAAAAAGGAATCATCGAACTCAATGCTGTGCTTGAACGATGATTGCCTACAAAAGCTGTTTGAGCATTTGGATATCAACAGTTTGTGTCAAATGGCAAATGTTTGCAAGCGTTTCCGACCGATTACTATGCAAGTCTTCAGTCAATGTCACAAGAAATTCGTATTTAAAGGTTCATGGTGCAAAAACTCCGATTTTCGTCGTGCACTGTGCAAATTCGGTCATTTAATGACATCAATCAATGCTTCCGAAGTCGACTTTGACGATGATGAAAGACTCGATGGTAATGCAATCGCCAAATATTGCACCAATAATTTGGAAGAGTTGATCGTACGACAAGCAACCATTGATTGTGATGCGTTCAAACCGTTATTCTCACGTTTGAAATGTATCAATTTGATCGAGTGTGAATTCACTGGCAACAAAACCGATTTATTCAAATCATGTCCAAATCTTGAGATCTTAAGTTTTCATGCGGATTTTTTGGGCTCCAATATGATTGATCTTGGCTATGATGAATTACTTTCGTCAATGGATTTCGTTGTTCGGAAATTTCCGAATTTAATTTTTTTGGTAATAATAGTTTCACTATGTTGTTATCGATGGTATTGTGAAAAATGCGAAAAACGTTGAAATACTTAAGCTTCGTCGCAGCGATTCTGGTCCGGAAGTAGAGACTCGAAAAGGGTTTTTGAAGCTGAGTAAATTGAAAAATTTAAAAATAAAATGTCTTACATCCGTAAGATGAACTTTTCCGCACTGTGATTCACAACATGCATTTATTACGTATCTTTTGCCGTAAATATGAATTCATGAGAAAACTGAATCTGATATAAGTTTTGCGATACAAATAATTTTTGTTGGACTTTTCAATGCCTGTATGATATCGTAATCATGTGAAAATTTGAAGATGTTATTTTTTTCACAAAAAGCTAACATTCCTAAAGTTTGAAGAAATTTCAATACAATTGAGTGGTATTTTTTAAGCAAAAAATCCAAAATTTTGTTCGGGAGGTATCTCTATTATGCATTGAAATCTCTTCAAACCCTCGGAATGTTATTTTAGAGTGAAAAAAATAACCTGTGCAAAGTTTCAGCTCATTACGATATCATACAGGCATGGCTTCCATAAAAAAAATCCATTGTTTTTCAAATTTTTGTATGAAAAGTGTGTCGAAATATTATTGTATCGCAAAACTAACGTCATATTCGTCATTACAGGAGATACTGTTTTTGTTCAACTGTATTGATGAGCGTGTACAATTTACGTATGAACAAGAAACATTGAGTGGGTTGCCCTTTTTGGACATGACGGTGTTCAGAGACGAGAGCAATAAAGGATTTTACACGAAATGGTATCGGAAGCCTGTCTCTTCAGGTCGACTATTAAACTTCAAATCTATACACCCTATGAACCAAAAAATAAGTACAGCTAAGGGGCTCATTGATCGTGTTAATAGACTGAGTGATGCTCGTTTTTTTGAGGAAAATAAAATATTGATAATTGAACTACTCGTTGCGAACGATTTTCCGCGTAAATTAGTGCATAGACTAATCAACCAATACTCGCCTACGAATATTTCTTCTACTTCTACACCATATCCGACTGAGAACATCATGGGCTATCATTCATTGTTGTTTATTCCAAGTGTTTCACATTCTATTGAGAGATCAATCTATAACTTCTGTGATAACTTACGTATTTCATTCAAAGCGAACAACACTGTGGGAAAATTATTCTCTAAAATCAAAGACAAGCAACCAATGGAAGACGTTTGTAACAGTGTTTATAAAATCAAATGCCTTGACTGTGATAAACATTACATCGGAACGTCGGGACAAAAACTATGGAAGAGGAAAAAGCAACATATCTCTGATGTAACCAATAATCGACCATCTAGATCATCATTGGCTTATCATGCCATCTCAAATGAACATAGTTTTGACTTTGATAACATGCGTGTCATAGAAAAAGAAGGATCATATAGGAAGAGAATGTTATTAGAAGAAATTCATATAAAAGCAAGTAGAAAATGTGTTAATGTAAAAAGTATCGAATCAAAGAATGTGAGTGATATTTATTATAATTTGTTTAGAAAATTGAAAACTTGAATCATTCAAATATTGTGCTATTAAACATGTCATTTAAATGTAACATTTTGATGTCATACGTTTGTTTGACACTTGAGGTCTCAGTCAGTTTGTTTTGCAATGCAGCATGTGTCAGTTGTTAATTTTCCTGAATTTATCAGTTTAACTCATTAATTGGTTTATTCTTGTTATATTTTTGTTTTGCCAAAAAAATTGTTTGAATGAACTTAATTAATCAGAAAATTTTTTTTGACATAGTAGATATTCATTGAAAAGTGAGTTTAATATTCTTTTCTTTTAAGTGAGGGTGTTGTTACACTATCTAATACATTGTATTATTCGATTTCTTTAGACCCTGAAGAAGAATCACAAATGATTCGAAACGTCGGTATATTCTAATAAAATATCAACTCAAACCAGACCGAATTGGCTTTCATTCACTAATAACGTCATATTCGGTTTTCTCGTACCCAAAAACCCCCAATACTTATTTTTGAGTGTTTAGGAATACATTAAATATCACTTTTGGAAGAAAAATTGAATTTTTCCCATGGATGCATCACACCAGACATGAAACTTTACTCTATCAATCAAATTCGCTCAAAATCTAATGGTTTCTATTCCTCGGCACCCCCAATCATCCTGTGAAGTCAGATTTTGAATTACTTTTCTTGTTTCAAAGTTATCGTGTTAACAAATTTTTGCGTACAGGGTACAGAATACAGGGTACAGGGTACAGGGTACGCACATACATTCGGACATCGGAAAAACTCTAGATTCGTGTTCCCTGGCCCCAAAAACACCCAGAAAACACATTTTTGATGCGTGTTAATTTTTCGACCGATTCCAATACTTTACCTTACACACTAGGTGTGTGCGGAAAAGTAAAATTATGCTTTGAAGCCGGCAGTGAAGAATACGGTAAATTTTTTGGTCCGCTTATGAATGCATTTGCGAAGGAAAAGGTGCCAATCGAACAGTTGGAAATGTTTAACTTTAAAATTCGCCCGAAGGACATCAAAAGCATTCTCAAAGTGAAGACAATCAAAATGCTGTCCTTGAATTCAATCGATAAAGCCAGTGATGCTGATTTGGTACCATTGGCCACGCAACTGCAATTGTTGAAACATTTGCAACTGGATTTTACAAATGTAAAGGCACCAATCACAGCCAATGGCCTAGTTAATATGGCAGCAGATGGAAAGCAGCTTGAATACATGGCATTGATTAACGTACAGAATTTGAAAATCGATCAAAAGGTATTTGAAAACATACTGCAAGCGGTTCAAAGTCGTAGCAATGGAAAGAAATTAACGATTGACATTGTTGGCAGTTACGATAAGACAACCAGTTTCAATGTACCAGGCGAAATTCAACGAGCCGCAAACGCTCATTTGATTATCAATTATTCAACACTAGAGGACGAATAAAGGCAACTCAATGCACCGAACAAGACACACACAAAGCGAACGATGACACATACACACCAATTTACAAAAGCGTTAACTATTTTTTATTTCATTATTACTTCTAGTTGATTAAGTTTATTTTCTTCATTGAAACATTTTAGAAAAGCATACCATTACCTTTTTTCTACTGAAAAGAAAAGAATTTTCCAAGAAAACGCCACATATTTAATATATTTCAAAGAAATATCGAAAAATAACACAAAAAATATGTGAGATTGTCAAAGATTAAAACGAAATAAAATACGTTTGTATTTGAATTGAAAAATTTTAGAAAACGTGATATTTTAATAAATTCACTCGAAAGGAATAATTGAATTTTTTAGAAAACAAATATGAAATTGAAAATTGTTTGGTCGAACGAAAGGAAAATTAAATTTGAACAATTTTGTAGCACGGAACTCTAGTGTTAAGCACTGAAACTAATCAAATGTCAAATAAATGAACATTTTTTATTCAGTCAACATTCGAAGTACGTAATGATTGTTTATTTTCTTAAAAAGTAAACATTCGAGAAATTTCATTACGACCAGAAAAAAGGTAGAAAAAAGTCGAGCTCATCATATTGAAGCTATCGGGTAACGCGAATAAAACCCAATTCAACTATCAAAAACATTATTTTTCGTTAATATCATCAGAAGAAATATTCGACCATTTTATGTAGATTGTTCAACGAAAAAGCACTTGCTCACCAGTATCAAATTCTCTTTGCTGTAGTTAAATAGAAGGTATTTTGTTGCTTTTATTGACTGCGCTGCGAATTAATTTAACACACAGAATATTTCAATATTTCCAGGTGTATCATAAAAAAAATGTCAAATTCAGACGAACCGAGCGCCAAGCGTTATCTAATGGACACCGACCTATCAACGACAACACAGCCTATTAATGAAACTACTACCATTTTAAAATTGAATGACGATTGCTTGTATGCGATTTTTGGCTATTTAAATATTGAAAGTTTGTGCCACACCGCAAATGTTTGCAAACGATTCCGACCAGTCACCGAGCAAGTATTCCACCGCTACCATAGTAGTGTCAAATTCAAAAGTGCCACCAATAAAGAGTCTTCATTTCGTCGTATTCTGTGCAAATTTGGTCATCTTATCACATCACTCGATGTTTCGTTTGCGGGTCGTTATTCGGATTTTGGAACAGATGCGATCGCAGAATATTGTTCAACCGATTTGGAACGTCTTATATTACATCGCGTGATCATTAGCAGCGATGACATTGCCTTATTAATACCCCGATTGAAACACTTGGAAATACGTGATTGTGTTTATAATATGGATATGGATAACTCAGCTGATTGGTACAAGGTGTTTACATTTAAAAATTGTCCAAAACTTGAGGTGTTTGCTTTCAATATGGAAAATGAGGGCTGTGAATTTTTGGTTCAAAAGTTCCCAAAATTGAAAGAACTTATGTTGAACTGTGAATACGTAAGATCGGACATATTTGCCGATATAATGGGTCTCAATTCACAACTGAAAATGTTGAACATCCAGACAAGACTCAATGACGAGGTTTGTTTACATTAACTATTTGAGGAATAAGAGGAAGATTTTTAATAATAATTGCTCATGGGTTATGTTCTTCTGGATTATTTTGTTTAGCTCATTTATTCCATCATTCATGCAAAGGATCTGGAGAATTTGACTATTAGCGGCGGAAATAAATCGAATTGGGATTACAAAGCTATTCGAACCGTCAATGGTCTTTTACGATTAGCCAAATTAAAGAAATTAAAGGTACTCAATATCGATATTACCTTTTCAGGTTATGCACGATCATTCATTCAGCTCATAGAATCATTATCAAACAAAAACATTCCCATCGAACATTTATCGATAGATAGTATTTCAATAAAATCACAGGAAATTCATAGTTTGAGAACTCTGACCACATTACGATCGATTTGTTTGAGTGGCGTCACACAAATGAACGAGGTCGGTGTGGCCATTGTTTTGGATAAATTACCATTACTAGAGAGCCTGACATTTAGATTTGGTTTATATCCATCCATCACACTTACTGGCACCGGATTGACGAAAATGGTGGAGTCTGGAATGCGATTAAAGAACCTATCATTTATCGGGGACTGTAATATTAAATTGACGTTGGAACAGTACAAATCATTGCTGAAAGTCATTCAAAATAGCTACAGAGAGAAAATTTCCATTCGAATCACCGGTAACAAGAGACTCCATATTAAAGTACCCGCACGAATTTTAATTGCAAATGAAAATACACTTGAATTTATATTTGACCAACTATTTACCGATGATTCTGACAATTAACTCATTTGAAATTGATTACATTCAAAAAACTGACTTGGGCCATGCACATCACCTCCAATGAAATAAAAAAAGCAATGTCATCTGATGTCAATTGAATTGTAGTTCTCATACTCCATAGTAAATTAAAAAAAAAAATCACGCCTTGCCAGGTTAGAAAATGATATGAAAATGTTTACTAAAAATTATTTGTTTTTCAGTTATTGTTTTAACGGTTATATTTGTTATGTATTAGTATAAATTTCAGTGCAAGAACAAAAAAAAAAAAGATATGAAATTTTTACGCCAAACATTTTTACATTGTAAGATTTGTCTTTAAAACAAGTAACCAAAGAAAAATCATGAAAAGAGATTATTATATTTATGGATACGAGCATTTTGATATTAAATAAAGTGCATATTTTGTTGTAAAATATTTTGTTATGATTTAGTGGTTTTAAATTGGTTGTGGCAGCAAAAGTCCTTGTTGTATGTCGATGTTACTTTTCTGGTAGGTCACACTTCTTTCATCCGAATTGTTCAACAGCATTTCTTTCATCATTTTCAGTGGACGTTTGCACTTGCTTGTGACAAAAAATATCAATATTACCAGCAAAATCGCGCCCAGCAATATTTCAATTATAAATTAATCATTGAATTGACTTTTTGGCTGATTATTTGTGAAATGATTACCCAACGAATGTTCATTCATATCCAGCGCTTCGTTTATGATTGAGTCTGTGTGTTTACAATCCGTACCACCGACATGTGTTTGTTTCGATGTGCCATCGATCAGCTTTAAATCGTGCCACTGCAGTAAAAATTTCACCAAGTAATCACAGGAGAAATTATTTTTCGATATACCCAAAACGGACAATTTTGGAAAATGGGAGCGTGTCACACTGTCAATGGCGGTTAAGTTATTCTCCTCTAAATTCAATTCGACTAAATTTTGAAAATTTCGTAAAAATAGATAAAAATCAACTGTGTTCAAATTATTGTACGAATTATCTAAAACTTCCAGCTTTCTTAGATGATAAAATGTGATGAAGTCGAAGTTTGTCAAGTTCGTGTGACTTAAATTCAGATTTTTCAAATTGATAAATTTTTCGAACGTGTTTGCCTACAATTTTCCCATCAAATTATTGGATAGGTCAAGTGTTTCCAAACGAACACTTGCATTTTGAATTATCGCTGAAATATTTTCAATGCGGCCGTTCGACAAGTCCAAGTGACGAATCGTTTTGAAGTCTCTTTCGGTGAAAATCCATTGAAATTTGCATTCAGCAACTCGTAGACGAGTTGTTGAAAATTCCTTCGGCTCCATCGAAATATTGAAATTGATGTGTGCATCACCATTGCAACTGGCATCCAAGTATTCCAGTGTGTTTAATGAAATATCAACTGATTGTAATTGCGATAATGTTGACAAAAATCCACATTCCAATCGCTTCACTAGGTTACTATTCAAGTACACATTTTTTAATTTCTTATTTTGCACCAATAAATCATTTTCAATTTTCTTAATTCGATTGTTACTGAAGTCCAACGTTTCCAATTCATGAAGATTTGAAAACAGTCGTCTGTTCAACGCCTCGATCGAATTGTGTGAAAAATTAATCGTTTTTAATGTGCGCGTATTATCGAATACATACGAATCCAGTTTTATAATTCGATTGTATGAGAAATCTATTTCAAATTCGGTGTATTACCAAATAGTTCATTGTAAATTTCGGTCAAATGATTGTGCGATGCGAACATTTTCTCCAAATGTTTGGCGGTCCGTAAACAGTATGCATGCAAAATGTAAACAATTATTGCAATTTCAGTGAATGAAATATTTAATACACGAAGCCCTGAAAACATATCCAATAAATTCCATAACATTTCTTCACTTTTACAACCCGGAAAACTGAAAATTTGAATATCAGCTCGATCGATTGCCGTCGAATAATTGTTACAATATAAGAATTCATTAGTTCGACGTTGAAAATTTGCGCCCGAATTCACTCCGCAAATATATGACGCGTGATTGGTATTTTCATCGTAATAACAGTCATTAAAGTCAAATGAAACGCAAATTGACAAAATCAATGAGAAAATGAATACACTTTTTATGGATGCCATTTCGAACTTAATTGAGAACTTCTTTAAAGACTTGAGAATTAAATGTCTATGTTATGGTGTAGTATGTGCTAAACTGATTTGATATTGTTTTTATCAAAACATAGAAATCCATAGAAAATACAGAGAATAGACATGACTCTCATTCCGATCCGAATTAATGCTGATAAATAGAGATGGCATGTGTTTACAGTTTGAAGTGGATATTGTTATTTGTGCAATAACAGAAAATTACGAGCAGAGAGACATATTTTAGGTCAAATACGATAACAGTTGAGACACTATCATTTCCTGGACGATGTACTTTCATTATTGTTTTCTAATTTTAGTATGTCGAATGACTGATGTGATAAAATGCGAGTATTCAAAGAAAACAAATTGTTTTTAGTAACTACAACATCTCCACTTTATTTGCATAATAAAATTTCCATGTTTATTCTTGTTTGTATATGTCGATTGGATTCTTATTCGAGTGAAATAAGAAAGAATTGCAAGTGAATTGGTTGGAAATAGAGTTTTGGGGGATCGTTTGATGGAGAAAATGTTAGCCTGAAAATGAATATAGTCATGAGCTGTGAAAAAATTGCAAATTTTCACTCGTCTTACCTCCATCACCACTGCCACCGCCACCACCAGAACCGCCGGCTAAAAACGAATTTCAATATTAAATCGCGTCATGTAAAATTGAGATTTTTTGTTTGATTGAGTAATAAAGGTACCTTTTTTCGCAGGTTTTGCACTATTTTAAAGTAAAATTCAATCATTAATATTATGCGTGAAATTTGATTAAAAAATAAAATACTTACGGTCCCGCTGCTGGTATCGGTACACTATGTTTTTAGATGAAACAGTATTAAATTAGCTTTTTATTCTTAAATTTGTTCTTTTAAATAGGGGCTAAAGTGCTCTTAATCCCAAAACCGCCCAGAACTTACTTAAATGTTCCCATATACGATGGACCTGCTGACGCGAACCATGATTTTACTTGGCTGTTCAAATACTTCATCCCAGAGTATAATACACCGGTCGAGCCACCTCCAATACCTGTCAAAATGAAATATCACCACCAAAGATATAGAAAGGGAGATGGATTGTTCGTTGTTTTTTGATCTCAAGATCTACCCACCGTATGTGCTTACGAATTGTCCTTTAACAAGTTGCAATTGAAAGATGTTAAGAAATAGTCCAACGGAAAGGGACAAAACTAACAAATTTGAGCAATAAGTCATGTTTACTGTTCAAATGTGTTTCTTAAAAGAAGAGCCGTGGGTTTATTGAAGCACTATTGTGCGATATCAAAAAGAAACTGAACTCCGATAATTGTAAAACTTCACAATTTATTGAAACACGACGCATTTGAGATGTGTAATAAAAAAAGAACAGATGTGAATTATGTCAGGTTTCATGGGTCTTTTATAGATAAAATAAGTGTCGATACACAATTAAAAATTTAAATTATTTTTAATTAAAAATGTTATGTTTGAAGGAGAGCTCGGTAAGTAAACAGATAACATTTAATATGTGTTGCTCCGCCCCAGAAACGTGACTTAGCCGTCCTCAGTACCATCAGTGGCTGAAGTGAAAAATGTGGAAAATTTCGAAAATTACACAAAGTCAAGTGAAACTAAGTCTTCAAAAGAGAAACCACATACTTGCATCTGGTGTTTTAGTCTCTTTCGCTCTGAAATTCAAATATCATACGTTAGAATATTGAACTGACTCAATGTGGAAAAAAGAGTATCTTTTTTAAACAGTCATATTTACACTGGCAACTGTGGCGATGGTGTACTGTGAAAATTATAAGAAATGTTTTAAGTATTTAGATCAATGTTAAGCGTGTCTCATTAAAATAATTACTGTATTGAACCATGAGGAATAGATCCAGCGAATATTGTTGCTCCAGATCTAAAATATTATTCGCACAATTTGAAAATTCAATTACAAAAATGAATTTATTTAAATATATTACAGTTGTCTGTTTGCAGGAACGAATTGATGAAGATTCGCGAGTAACTGATTCAATCCGACTATGATGCTTGCATGGTTGGAACCATAAATTGGACTTTGAAAATCACACTCGACAATTGGAATCGAATTCGAACATAAAATCAACGAAATAATTAAAGCGAAAATGTTAATGTTCATTCTGAAAATAATGTTCACAAACTGTGTGATGTATGATTTGAGGTTGAATTCCGGACGGACTTTATTGAAGTGTATGTACATTGTACATGTTCAGTGATCTTTTATAGCTACATTTCCACAATTGTAATGAGGTCAAGGAAAGTAATTACTACTGCATTTGAATAATATCTTTCTTTTTCCATTTGAATTTGGAATCAAACTTCAATTTAATTTTTTATTCAGAGTTGACATTGACCCATATCATTTTTTGAAAATAAAAGATTTGCATTTACTAGTTCAATTTAATCGATAAGTTTAAAAATAAAAAATTAAATTGAAGTTTGATTCCAAAGTCAAATGGAAAAATAATGTTAAAAGTCAATTTTCTGCCAGATTTTCTTGTTAAAAACATTGTTATGCATTCTGTGATAACATTCATATATTTTTTTATTACAAGTTCTACGAGAAGGTGTTTGAAATTAAATGAAAGATTTTTTAGAAAATTTGCGCATGTTTTAGTGGCAAGTTCATTCCAAAAGTTCTTTGGGTTACAGCGATATTGATCTTTTTGGGAAAATGAGAGTGTGGCAAACACATATCGAATATCGGCGACATGAAAATACGAGTATAGTGATTTTACTGTCAACACTATCTATAGAACACCAATGACCTTAGCAGACTAACATTACAGCATCTGCCACTTTTTTCCTTATGAGAGGATTTTTTTTAGTAAATTTAAAGGGAATATTCATCTTTAAATACACATGAGAATGAATTAAAAGGTATATTCTTTGTTATTGGTTTTACTTAAACAAGTATTGGGAGTTTTTTCCGACGATTATTTTGCGATAAAATACCGTTTTGCCTTTTGCCACACTTTCCATACACACTTTCGCAAAAATTTTATATTGTCATTATAAAATTGAATTAATTTATCAATCTTTGAATTTGTATCTATTGGACTAGTTTTTATCAACTGTTTTATTGATTTTGATTATAATGTTTTTTTTTTTTAAATTATATCAGACACGTGTATGAGCAATTGTAGTCTTAGAATTTTCGAGAAGCACATTTATCTTGTTCTAATTTTAAAATACATTTCTTATGGACTCAAATGGCAGCCAATTTGGTATGTATCATATAATTTGCGAGTGTACCATTGGAATCATAGTTATGAATATTAGAAAATGAAAGAATGTGCAAAAATTAAACATGGTTTTGTATATTGCAGTAAGCGCCCATAAAATTTCGTCGCTCGTCATTTAACAACTGTTGCTTGATCATTTATTCATATATTTTATCGAAATAATTTGCTATTGCTATGAATTAAAAAAGACGATGAACAGTAAAATGGTAGAAATTGTAGACCCCCGCCAAATGGTCAATCAAAAATGTTGGTATAAAAAGCGGCATCGACTGAAATAAAATCAGTTGGAATTGTGATTTGAACGTTATCAAGCACAGTTATTTCTGTTATTGTATCTGAGAAAGTGTTAGGTGAAAAAAATTAACTAACATGAAATTACATATGAAATTGTTGGTGTTCTTTTGTGTTCTGTATTTGTTATGTGGACGTGTAATTTCAAAAGACAAACACACAAGGCCCAGTACGAGTACACACAAACCCGGTAAGCATAAAATAAAATAAATAATATAATTTTTTGTGAATGAAATTCTTCTATAAATGTTTATATTTTTTTATTATTATTAAATATTTATCTTAAAATTGGGAATCAAAGAACCGCATCAATGTTCGGTACAGAAGAATAAGCAGCACATATGTAGTTGCGCAATCATCCACCAAGAGTGGATTCTAACGGCAAATCATTGTTTTATGGACTATTTGAATTTTGAAAATGGAAAATCTATTAATAACATAATTCAAGATCACGACATATTATTAGTTGGTACTGGAAAACGTTACAGCCTTGAGGCCTATATACAGTATGATCAGAATTTTATGGGTTATCGATACCAGGTGGACATCGGATTAATTAAAGTGAATGGGGCGATGTCGCTTGTACCGTACAACATCCTGAATATATGCAACTATCCTTTTGTTCAACCAGATATGCAACTTGTAGCCAAGGGATATCAATGGAATTCCGGTCTTGTATGTTTTCAATTAAACAAAATATCATTTTCGATTTTGAACTTTGAAAATATGTTTTCTAATATAGAAGCCGAGAGAACTCTCTTTAAAAGTTCTTAAAAATGTATCAACATTTGACAGTAATTTCCATTTCTGTACCAAAAATTTTGAAGGGCAAGTAAGTGCACTTGATTTTTTAAAGATGAAAACTTACCAAGACTAGTTATTATCGTTTCGGATAAAATACAGGGAATGTCTGGCGGTCCGATTGTGGATGGAAATGGTCGATTGGTTGGGATATTGAGGGGGTCAGGAACGTAAGTTATCAAAAAAAGTTCATCGAAATTGTATTAATAGTTTGATTTTTATTTGCTTAATAGAGGAATAAACAATAAAAAGGTGAAATTGTTTACTCGGATTTCACATATTCATACATGGATCAAATCAAAGATCAATTACTACCGGTGTGAAAGACAGATATGTTGCATCTTCTCGTAGCATAAGGTAAGTAATTTTTTTATGTGAAAGTGATATACAGACCTCTCTTGTGTATTATTTCATCAATATAAAAACATATATATATATATGATAGAATCGACTTGAACATTTTTGCACAAACTTTAATCAAATTTTGATGATCAGTGTCACTTTTTTTTCTTTATGTGTGACTCAAATTTTCTGTGAAAATAAATAATTTCATGGAATTTGATCGTGTTATAATTCAATACTCAAAATCAACCTTTTTTTCTATTTATAGAAGAACGTTCTAATCCAAACAGTCGGAGAATCAACAACAACTGGGTGAAAAATCAATGAGGTTAACTCATTGTGAATGTATCAAAAAATTATGAATTTTCAGGTGTAAAATTTTAGTCGAATCGATTGGAAATAAATAAATAAAATATATTTCAGAGAAGCGAATCAACTTTCTAGTTATATTATTTACTTGTGTATGACCTCGACCTCTAGAACCATTCGCTTCTACACTCAAAATTAACTTAGGAAAGCGAAATTCACTCATTCGCTGAACATGATCAAACCGTCACAAAACTTTCACGCTTCATCAACCGAATCCACATTTAAATTTTCACGCACATTCACATTAATGATTCTATTCTCCTACTGATCTCAAAGAGACACGTCAGAAATCATTCGCAACACTTTCAGTGAACAATTTGTTGCGAACATTTGTCGAAATCAAAGTAAAACAATAAAGATATAAATTGTGATCGAATGTAAATATGTGATTTAACCATATAAATTATTATAATTATTATTTATTGTTTTTTGAGTCTACTTTATTAAGCCGATTATATAGTTTAGTTTACTTCAATTTTCTAACCAAAACAATAAAATAAAAATATGCTTGTATAGCCGACTATATACCGCTATTACAATATGCACAAACTATCATAAACAATAGCACTAGAAAAATCCCCAGGTAAAACATTTGTGTTAGTATATTATTAAGCCAAGACCACCAGTTATCGTTATTCTCCTCATCATTGTTATAAGGAGCACAATCTCCAATTATCATCTCGTTAGGATCGATGAGAATTGACCTATTCAAAGTGATAAAAGGAGAACTAAATTTAATATATTGCATTTTTATTCGTGCTATGATTAGAATTGAATAACAACTATTTGTAAATTCTTTCTTTAACAAAAGCAAACTTACCTGACCAAACTCGTGGGTATTTTCGGTATCACTTTATTTGTATAAGGTCTATCGCATTCAATTGTATATGGGAATGCCTCTTCCATTGGAATAGCGTGCGTATTAGACTTATAAAGATAGCCAAATGTTTCTCCAAAGGTCACACCAAATTGACGGCAAATAATGTCACTAATAGAAAAAGGAAATTTTGGCCTGTTTCGATATTTGAAGTTTTCTTCGAGAATCAAATGTTCTGAGATTTCTCTTCCATTGTCCGTTATTTTCAACTGCATAACCGCTATGGTTCCTAACAAAAAAGAAAAATGTATATTTTATTTCAATACAATACCATCGCATCGTAAATTGATTTACCTAACGAGTCGTGAATATAGGGGAACGTTATTAGAAATATGTTTTCTATCTCCGGACCTGCAAAACGCGAAAGTAAATGTTTAGCTCTAGGAAGTGGGATGAAACTGATGTGGCCTGCTTTCTATGGTTCACGGAGATAATCTCTTAATATTTTCAAACTCTCAAAGATCCACTTGAATTTGGTTTCAAATAATGTTTTGTTTATTTGATACAAATTTCGTGTGTTGACCAACATGCCATCTTCATAGGAATTTAATTAATTAATTTTTATCGAATAAAAAACTGTATTTTTCTCTAAATGAAAGTATACTCACTTTGATCCAATGCATTTGCTTCGGTCAAAATGTCACCTTCGTAGGAATCAATTCGATTCAATTAATTAATATCAAATAAAAAATCATAATATTTTTTAAAAAATGTAAGTATATTTACATATATAATTCAGGTGTTCATCGGTCAACTTTTTTCCAGTAAATAAAAAACATAAGGAGTTTATAGATTCCTTTAAATACTCCCAACGAACATTCTGTGGAACATTCTGTGGAACGGTTGGTTCTGTGGAACGTTGGAGAGCATCGTTCCATACGGCATAGTACCAGATATCAGGTTCTTGGCTTATATTAGTATAACCCCAAATTTGAACGGACTCCACGCTGAACTCCACGTTTGGCAAAGTCATTTCGGAATACACTTGCTTTTGGAATTGTAATGTAACTCTAAGAGTAAACCTTTTTTTAAACACTTGGCTCATAGGACCTTCTGGCCAATTACAATTCAAAATTAGGAGGTCGTTCGGGTATGTTGGTTGTTTTTTAATTTTGATAGGGGCAGATTTTTTATTTTCAACTGAAATCAAATTATAATAATAATATATTGTTTATTCACCATATCTTTTAAATAATAGAGTATAAAACAATTTTTCAGTTTTGTAATGAAGAAAATAAA